GGACGCCCCCGGGCGAGCCTCTCCAGCAACCGCAGTGTCAGCCTGAATGTCTCCATGGTGGCTCCACCCTTGGCCTGCCCTCCCACCTCCGGGCCAGGACCTTGCTGGCCCAGGCAGCACCTCCCCCGGGGCTGGGCTCGAACTGGAGTCATTGTGTCTCCCAGTGAGGTCTTCAGGTGTTCTCTGGGTTTGCGTTTAAGGTGTATTTCTCCCACAAGCAAGAGACAGAGACAGCGTCCCCAGCAGGGTTCGATGCCGTGGTCCACCCTGAGTCCTGGGCCATGAGTGCCTCGTGTCCTCAGGGAGGGCTCCGGACGGAAGCCAGGCCCAGCCCACGCGGGCAGCCCTGTCCTCTTCCCAGTGGGGACCCGACCTCTAGAACGGCCTCTGCACCCCAGCCTGGGCGGCGTGTGATAGCCCCCATCGGCTTCCAGAACAGGCGGATGGGCTCGCCACTGACCCCGCCCCGCACGGGCCCAGGCTCGTCCGAGACCGCCCTCTCCAGGACCCAGCTGCCCGGTTCTCACCAGCACTGGGTCCCCCCTTTGGGCCTCAGCACAGGGTGTCCCGCCCTCTGCCTCCAGCTGCTCTAGGTCCCATTGTCCTTTAGGGAAAGTGCTCAAATGTCTGAGATCCTAGGGACTGTTTGTTACGCGGCGCCCACGAGCAACCCTGCCGGATGCACCTGTCTCGTCCTGGTGCTTCCCCGGGAAGGAGTTTGCTCCGGGCACAGCCAGAAGTGCATCCTCAGACACAGCGCCCGGGGGGAGTGACACACCCAGTCCCCGGCCATGACAGAGGCCACCGTGATAAATACATTTATTTGCCTGCCCGAGCCCTGCCCAGGGCTGAGGCAGCTGGACCGCAGGAGCCAGCGCTCACGTTGTGGCCAGGGAGGCCGCCGCGGTCTCCCGGACGCCCCTCCGCAGGGGTCGGGCGGGTGCAGGGAGACGGGGGCTCAGTAGACGACCTCATACACGGTGGCCTTCTTGTCCCCCGAGCCGGTCACAATGTACTTGTTGTTCCTGGAGATGTCACAGCTCAGGACAGAGGACGACTCCTTGGACTGCAGACCGCGAGGGGGGGAAAGGGCGTGAGGGGAGGCGTGGGCCCTGAGCACCAGGGGCCCGGGGCCGAGGCAGGGAGCCCTGGGTGGACGGGAGGAGGGAAGGGGCCGGGGCTGGGGCCGGGGAGGAGACTGGAGCTCTGTCCTTCCGGACAGCCGGAGAGCAGGACAGCCGAGTGGCCCTGGGAAGCTCGGAGAAGGCTGTGCACAGTGACCTGCCCGCGTCCGCGGGCTTCCTACGGAGCTGATGGCAGCTGGTCAGCTGGGTCGGGCTTTGCCTGAGGTGCCAGCCTGTGCCTCGTACCTACTGCCTGGCACCTTCCTACACTCCCGGAAGGCGGGCAGACAGGACACAGGGGTGAGGCGCAGAGGCCGCCGACTGGGGCGCAGGAAGCCGCGTCTGAGTCCGGAGACCCCTGAGTGCGCAGGGACGCCCGGGCGCGGCCAGTTCTCACCCAGGGCGGCCTCCCCGTCCAGGGCCTGCCCGCGGGTGGGGACCCCAGCCAGCTACCTGGAAAATGCTGGCCCCGTAGGGCGTTCTCCAAGCGTTGAGCAGATTGTCCTTGCCGGTGCTCACGAACCAGCGCCCTGGGAGCGGAGTGGGGGTTGGAGGAGCCGGCGGGCGGGGCCTGGCCTCTCTTTCCTTTCCGGCACCCTACCCTGAGACTCAGTCTCCCCCGCTCTCGATGGCCCTCGGGCAAGGGGAGCCCTCGGGGAGGGACACAGACGAACACAGACGCCAGCGAGGTTCGTGTCGCAGACACCAAAGCAATGTTAGTACAGACTGTGGCGCGACTTCGACGTCTGCTTTTTCGTTCTTGTTAAAGTTTGCTACAGGGCGTGCGCGCTCCCCGGAGAGAGAGAGAGGGAAAGTGAGGACCCCCTACCCCCCGGGACAGCCACCGCAAGCCCTTCTCCATCCTCCCTCGGGGTTGTGGGCACACACGCGCTTCAGTGTGTGTCTGAGCTGCAGGTCCAGGGGACTGTGCTGTCCGCCGTGTGGGACCCAGCGTGTTGACCATGCCACCGGCCGGCTCACGGATTAGCGGCTTTTTACTGTAAGTGTGTCCCACGCAATGCTTGGGGTATACTCGCACGAACGGATCATTTGATCTTTTTTTTGGAGAGGTTTTCGCTATAGGGTGCGTGTGCTCCCCAGAGAGACAGAAAGTGAGAAATCGCCCCCCAGTAGATGGCCACGCCGCAATCCCTTCTCCTCCATTCTCCTCTCGGGATCTTGGGCACGCACGCACACGCGCCTGGCGTGAGTTTAAGCCACCAGGTCTGCAGTCGACGACACGGGAGTCCAGCGACATAGCCATTATGCCAACTGCTGGTCCCGGAGGGTTTGATGTTAGCGGCAGGAGCATCCCACACAGCGCCTGGAACATACCCGTTCGGTGACTGCATCCCACGTGATGTTCGGGATACACGGACGGATGGACCTTTTCTAGTGTAAGCACGCGGGCGTGCTGGCGAGGCGGCCCCGCTCAGGCGGCCCGGCCCGGCCCGGCCCCAGGGACTCACCGCAGGAGGCGAACTTGAGGGACAGCACACAGCTCTCGTGGAGGTGCAGCTGGTACTTCTCGGGCTTGCGGACGTGCAAGATCTCCACATTGCTGCTCTCCATGCCGACAGCCAGCCAGTCCTGGTTAGGGCAGTGGCCCAGGGAGAAGATCTGGGTGACAGGGAGGCGAGGCGGGGGGGGGGGGGGCCGGCCCCGGGGCGGGGGGGGAGCCGCAGAGGCAGCTGGCCCGGCCGAGGCAGCAGGCCCGTGTGCGGGGTCATTCATATTCATCGGAATTACGCAGAGCCCGGAGCATGGCCATTCTCGGTTCCAGCAGCCCTGGGACAGACACGGCGGGGCAACTGCTGCCTGGAGCAGATGGCGGGAGCCAGGCGGGTCCAGCCCCGCGGGCCTGACCGGGGCTCGGAGCCTCCCCAGCTAACGCTTGTGCGCGTTTCCGCTTGACGGGACTCAGCGTCCCCCTGCTCTGCTGTCCCTCCCACCCTGGGCAGGAAGAGGAAAGAGGCCAGGCCAGCCCTGCCGTGCAGGGAGCCCGGTCCCACATGAAGCCCCCCAGTTCGAATCCCAACCCTGGTGGCTTGAAAACCACATCAGGCGAATGTGTATGCGTGCCCACGATCCTGAGAGGAGAAATGGACGGAGGGGATGGAGGCGTGGCATTCCCCTGGGGAGGTGCTTGTCTCTCGCCAGCTCTCTGGCCAGGGCACAAGCCCTCTAGCAAAAACCGAAACAAAGACAAAGGTAGGTAGAATGGAAAGAGCTTGGAGCTAGCTTCCCTGGGTTTCATGCAATGGGCAAACGGAGATGGGTCTTGAAGCATGAGTAGGAGTTCAGCGACTAGAGAAAGGCGCGTCAGCTTGCGGGAACAGCACACGCAGAGGGTTCCCGGTGTCCCAGGTACGGACCGTGTGAGGCCAGCCCACGGAACCAAAGGACAGACCGAGGCCCTCGCACCCCACCCAAGCACCATGCAGGTCTGAACCCAGAGCACCTGCAGACCGCTCCTGGCTCTGAGCAGCCCCAGCAGGTGCCCCGCTTCTGTCCAGCCCCTTCGTGGATCTTAGCCTGGATCCCCACGGCACCTTCAGGGGGACATCCCATGCCCCACGCCTACGGGCCTCCTGTCCCCCAGGCCAACTCCCCACAGTAAATCCTCCCTTGGGGAAAGGGGTGTTCCGGAGCTCTCAGTGGGGTTTGGAGATGGAGGGCCCACTGCAGGAGGATGATCTGAGGGTCTCAGTGGCCCCCTGGCTTATCAGGAATTGGCTTTTTATGCCTCCCTGTGTCCCTGGAGAATTAAAGGGGAAGGCTTGTGGGTTTGTCTGGAGAACAAGAAAGGCACAAAGAGGTTTTTAGCCCTGCCAGCAGCTGGGAGGCAGGGCAGAGGAGTCCGGCCTCGGAGCCGCCAGTGTGGCCCAGCGACCCTGCACACACCTGGGAGCCGAAGTCGTGCTGCTGCAGCTGCCGGCCCTCCCGCAGGTCCCAGCAGCGCACCGTGTTGTCCAGGCCCCCCGTCCACAGCCGGGTGCCGTAGTCGGAGATGTCGATGCAGCTGGCCCCGTCCGTGTGGCCTTGGAACTGCCTGCAGGGGGAGGCCCAGGCGTCCTTCCTAGGGCTGGGCTGCTCCGGCTCTGCCCAGGCCCGGGAGAGGGGGTGGGCACCCACCTGACCATGGCCTGGTTCTGCAGGTCCCAGACCACGATGTTGCCGTCGCTGCAGCAGGAGAAGCAGACCTTGGCGTCGGGGCTGACCGCCAGGGCGTAGCAGGCGGGGGCGGAGGACGTCAGCTCCGCCTTGATGCGGGGCGTGGGCGCCGCCAGATCCCAGATGGACAGGGTGCTGGCCTCGCCGCCCACGATCAGGCTGCGGCCGTCGGGCAGCAGCTTGCAGGAGCGGATGTAGTTGTCCCGGTTCTGGGTCAGAGGGAACGAGCGCTGCGGTGGGCC